TTAAATCATGTGCATGAATCTTCTAATTTTGGTTTACCATACTTAGAATTAGAGGTTTTACACATGATGCTAATAGAAACACTAGTCTACCATTTTTTTTTAATCCATGAGAGTCTTTGTATTTTGGAACACCTTTATAAAACAGAGGTAAATAGACAATTGTTCTCCAATTTGAAAAGGGAGACATGCCATTTTCTATCGACCAAACTCAAAGAACATTAAAAGCTTCAAAGTAACAATCATTAAAAGGAGTAGAATTGGAAAGAAGAAATTAGGGTTTGTCAACCAAAACTCAAGTAAAACTTGTTTATTTATATATAAAAAAAAATCAGATCGGATAGGGGTGATTCAATTTTTTAACAAACCTATTTTTCGATTAAATCTAATTCGAAAATTTAACCAGGGGCATCCAATTTTGGAATAGGACTGGATTTTAATTTGAATTGGATCATGATTCGGTCTATTTGCACCCCTAGGAACAAGTGTGTGAATTCCATTCTAATTAAATTAAAGTGTAAGAAACACCTATAATCGAATCAATTATTAATTGGGACAATCATAACTAGAACCAAATCAATTATTAATAGGAACCAAGGACTTAAATATCGACATATTTAAATATCGTATACGGGATAAGTAACGAATAGAAACGTATCCCATAAGTCGTTCATATACAAATCCGTATTGGCATGTTTCATATTGTATTGACCAATGGGCATTGATACGGGACGATACGCCCAAAACGCCGCGTCTCTTTATACTTCATAAAAAATGCAACTATGCCAATTTGAACCCAAGTCATTCGAACGCACTATTTTTCTCCACACTCTAAACCATCAAGCTAGGCTTTATCTTATGTTATTAAACATAATAAAATAAATTTTATTATGCTTTTGTGTCAACATACAATTTAAACAAAAAACATGTGTTTATATTTAACAGTTCTAACTATTCCAAGCAATAATATTCAAAAATTGTATTTTATAAATTAATAGAACAAATAATCTATCAAGTCCATATTTATATAAGAAGATGATTTTTAATATCAATAAAATTATACAAATAAAATAATTATTTTAATATTTAAATTGCATATGATATGCATTTTAAATGTTTATATATTTTTAAAAATTATTAATTAATATTAATAAGTAATAACAACATATTTATTATTTATAAAAAATAAAAATATTATTTACAAAATACTGAAGAATATAATATTAAATTGAATTTATCAAATTCACTAATCTATGTTTATTTCAAAAAATGATTTTTTATTTTGAATTATTTATAGAAATAAAAATATTAACAATGGAATAATTACTTTATTAATTAAAAAATATGAATTTGTATAGGATATGTATCTTAGAAATTTTAACAGATTCGATATACTTTAAGTTAATATTATATCTTTGTGAATTATTAATTGGTATTTTAATTTGCATTTGAGAATTTAATATTTAATTTATTTTTTGTTAATGTTAAAAAATTAAAATAGTAAAATAAAAAATAAGTGATATAATAATTAAAATATAATATGCACATGTGTTTAGTGTCTTGGACTCTTGATTGATGCATTATAAATAAAATTAGGGATAACTAGACTGTAATCCACCTCAAAAATCTGAAATTACAACCCCCTCCTAGTCTACTAGTAGCCCCCTATAAACCGCATATTGCTTGTGGATTTGGCATTGATCCACGATCAGGATTTATCTCACTTGTACAATGGGGCTAAGATTTGTATGGGTGGACTGAACAATAAAAACCCCATAAAATTATATGATATCTAAGCATCATGATATATTAATTGTAATATTTCTTTTCATATACACCATTAAAATATACATTTTTTTATGTATTTAAATACTATTTGTGACTATTTTGGTCTTAAATTTATTGTTATTAATGTATTCGTGGAAAATGTATGTATTTCCCTAACATATCTATCTGTTTTTATATTTTTCATCCGTATCCATGCGTTTCCAAAGCGTATCTATATCTGTATCTAAATTCTCTGATATAATACCCGAAACCGATACTTTAATCCTTGAGTATCTATATACTTGTTTTCTTTTTTTTATGGGGAGACATATCCAATGTAAGGCTGTACGGGATTGTGTGAACAGTGTGAGCACGATCTTATGAAGATCAAATCCAATTTTCGATTAGACTCAGTAATACTTGGCATCTACAATTACCAAGAATAATAATAATTTAGAACCAAGGTTCAAAGTATCGATGCAATACACGCTGTACGAGGTGTATGGTATCATATAGATAAAGTTTCGATACACATATTTAAAGGTGTTTTCAAGAATCCATTTATTTTGTTTATTAAATAATATAAAAATACTTATAACAATGAAATTAAAAAACTAAAAATTAAAAAGCACATGACTTAAAGCACCGATACACCTTTGCTAATATACACAAGTGTATTGATATTTTGAACTATGCTTAGAACTTCATTTTTTAAACATAGTAGTAAAAAGTGAGAGTAAAATATTAAACTATTTATATGTTGATAAAATCATAAAAAAAAAGTGTTTTTAACCATAGTTATTTTATAAATAGATGTAGACATAAAAATATAACAAAATTTATAAAAAATCAGGATATTATTTTATATATTATTATATAACTATATAATCAATCATTCATAACAAAAAAAAGTCTTGACCTAATAACAAAATTACAACACCAAAACCAACATAATCAGCCAATTGATTCAATTCTATTAAGTAGAACTCGACCCGTCGACACCACTATGGCGGTTGGTGTTGATTATCCAGGTGATCACGAATTTAGCCACATAAACCTAGGTGAAAATGACTAATTTTTGGGATTTTTTTCTTCCATTGTACATCTATCTTATATCATACATCTAGAATATTCTATGGTCCCACTTGAAATGTCATAATATTTCACATATTTATATCTATATCCATATCTATACTACTATAAAAAGTACAAATGGGGTCTAAGATTTTTGGAAATTTTCTTGACTAAAACACCCTCTTTTGAGATATGGTCCCTCTTTATTATGAGGCATAAAATGTAATTTGAATACTATTATTGAGTATATTCAATTCTCTCTCATTAAACCCCATGTTTAAAGTATTAACTCCTATTCACCCTCATTGAATCATATATTTAAGGGATTTTTGTTTCTTCTTATCACTTAATTCCATTAATTAAATTCATACATATTAATTCCAAAAGCATAAAAACTAATACTTTTAAAATTAACCAACTTGGGAAAAACAATATTTTCATCTAGGTGGTGGTAAGAAATTAAATCAATTCAACTAGTGTTGCCACAAATAGATAATAAAAAAATATAAAATAGATAAAATGTAAAAAGTATTAAAAATTAAAGAAAAAATTGGGAACATTTTAAACATCATATATTTGTCATATTAAACAAGAATGAGTATGACAAATAAGAAATATTTTTATTAATGATGAAAATGGAATATAAAATTTAAAACCAATTGAAAATAAAACTATTTTCTTATTCTCTCTCATTAAGTCTCATATCTAAGGTATATTCTCTCATTAAATCCTATATTTAAGATATATTTTCTCATCAATAAATTCTACTACTTACATACACATCAATTTTAAGAGCATAAAAATAAATAGTTTTGGTTAAATTTTCTCAAAAAAATAAATATTTTGAAAACAAAAACATTTTCTTCCCTCCTAGTGGTGGATAATCAATTCAACCATTTGGGTCAAATGGGTTAACCAATAATTCTATAATTAAATAATAAAAAATACAAAAATACAAAAAATAAAAAGAATTGGGCATATCTCTAATATTATATTTCATTATACTGAACAAAAATAAGTATTATATGTAAGAAGTAATTTTATTAATGATGGAAATGGAATACCAAATCCAAAATCAATCTAGAAATGAAATGATGTCATAGTCAAATAATAATTTTTTTAAAAATAAAATACAAAGAATCACATAAATAAAGAAAAAATTAGAAAAAATGGTCACTTTCTTGATGTTATATATTTATAAAAAAATAAAATATTGGGTACATTATACATAATAACTAATTTTAACAATGATGGAAATTAATACAAAATTTAAAGTCAACCTATAAATCAAACCATTTTCCTTTTTTGGTGTTTAGTTAGTGATTTAGGTCAAATGGATTAATTGATGATGTGATGATTAATTAATAATTTTTTTAAAATAAAAAAAGTATAAAAAATAAAAAAAAAACATAAAATATTATAAAAAATTTTGACACATCTCTAACATTATATATTATTAATTATATGAAATAAAATAAGTGCAATAAGCAAAAATTTATTTAAATAATATAGATTAAATATATAATTTAAAGCTGATATGAAAGCAAAACTATTTTGTTGAATGATTTAACTTATTGAATCAACTCATGATGTCATATTTAAATAATAAATATTTAATAAAGATATAACACAAAAAATGAAAACGTATAAAATTTTGTTGAAAACATTACAATATTTATAATTTTATATATTTATCATATTAAATAAAAATAATTATTAAAATAAATATTTTTAACAATAATGAAAATGAAATACAAACTTTAATAATAATAATAATTATTATTATTATTTTAATTTAAAATTTCCACGTGCACATGCTATTTACGGGTACAAGATACCTGTGAGGGTTTGAATTAGCCCATAAAATCATCGGATGAACTCCCCTCTCTTTTCCCATGCTGGAGTTGTATCAACCAGGTGAATAAAATAAAGAAACTTTACATGTGGCAATTTAGGTGGGTCCAAAAAGCTTTTCGAGATTTTGCCACATCATCTTCTCCCGTTAAATCAGATTTGCCAGGTGTCAGCATAGTGGAGGGAGTTGACAGTTCTTGGTCAACCATGCAATGACTAACGGAGTTTACGAGCCACAATATTTTATTACCAAAACTAACCTCGTTACTTTGTAGTATATTACTATTTTCCTAGATGTGTGCGCGGTGTCTGCGTTTCTCCTCTTTCTTTCCCTTTCCAGTTTCTGTTTCCCCTCTCTTCCAGGCATCCAGCTATTTAGGGCTCGTTCCCACTTTCAGATCCCGCTACCCTCTGCCGCCAAAGCTGCTCGCTTTGCTTTTCAGTATACGAGGTCGGCTCTTCCTCTCTCTCCGCCAATCCTCTCATCTTCCCAAACTTCAAATTTCGCTTTCCGTGGATTCAACTTGTTGTAAACTCATAGATTTAGTCCTTCATTCTTCTTTGAAACGCTGAGTTTCCTTCTCAATTTTGTTATTTGATTCGGTCAAGTGTCCATTGAGTTGCGCTGATTGGAACCCTCGATTGCGTGATCCTTTCTGTATAGGTTCATCGAATTGGGATTTCGTTGCTACGAAGAAGAAGAATTGAAGTTTGTGTCGTGAAAGATTCCATCTTTATCTGACTTTAAGGTTTCTTTCCTTCCTGGTTGATTACTGCTTCATTACGTCAAGGTATTTTTTTTTGTGTTTTTTATTGATGTTTGTGCCTTTTCTCTCCTTGAATAATCTTGGCTAACTTGTTTTTTATGTTCTCCGTTTTGTTAATCTGGTTGGTGGTAACAAAGGAACTGTATTAATTATCTGATATGGGAAAGTAAATGGGTTTTAGGTTTTCAGCGGAATTACTTGAACTGGTTTTTGGGTATTGAAGGAAAAGTGAAATCATGGAAGAATCTTTCTGCCTTATTTTCCTCTTTAGTAAGAAACCGTGGGTCTTTTGGTATATTTCTAGTTGGAGGCCTTTTAGTTAAATTTCGTTCAGATTTTAATAGATAATTGTTTCATTTTCTGCTGATTTTAAAAAATAACCGGTTCCATTTTCTTGTTTGTTTTATTATGAAATGCTTGGATTCAAAGACTAGGTTAGGAATTTGAAGTTAATAGGAAAAGGAGCGAAAGAAAAGGGGGAAACAGTGTTCGGTAATGTGGGCTCAGTCAACTTAGGGCCTTCATGGTTGCAAGGTTGCCTCCAGTCCTCTCTTTAGCTTCTTGGTGGAAGTGTTTGAACATAGAAGGTTATATTGGTGACAAAGTGCTAGTCATAGCCGGCTAGCAGTTATTAACTATTAGTGCACTTGATTTCTAAATAAAACTATATATTAATAGAAATAAAACCCAACAGCTCTTAAACACTTTTTGTTGCTTTAGAAGTTCACTCAGTGGACAAATACGAGAATTAAAGAAGTCTAGATATCATAGTTATCAGGGCAGCTGCCTAGGCAAGAAAGTGTTATGAGGGTGCTCAGTATCCTACCTTGCCTTGCTATAAATTATGAATATGTGAAGTAGGTATATAGAGTATATCTTGTTCTTGTCTATGCAGTACATATATCATCATATAAATAATAGAATAATAGAATACTTTTATTCTTTTAACAGCCTAATTTGAGGATTAGGACTTAAAAGCTGACAAACTGCCAAAGGGTCATAACTCAATGTTGGTCCCTGCTATCTGTGGTCTTGCGAGGGGTAGACAGGAAAAGTAATAACTTTTAGCATTTCTTTTTTGCATGAAGTGAGCACTATCAGACTCTGACTTAAACCCGTTTTCTCATGCATGTCATGCCAAGATTTTACTGTTGCACCAAGCAGTGAAAACCAATTGATTACAGAAGAAGCATTAGCAACTATTTGATTACAAAACAAATGGAAAGAAAACAAGGGGCTTTKTTCTCTTCATCCTTCACTTTCTCCGTTATGTTTTATTCCCTTGTTTTTCTTTCTCTTCCTCTCTTTCCCTCCCAAGTATTTGTGTGTTTTGGGTCTCTCTGCACATCACAAGAGCTTTTTCCCCATTTATTTTTCTCATAATAAAGTCCAAATTTTGAAGGGTTGAACTGAAAGCTATCATGGGGGGTTATTTTGTAATGGTGTAAGCATGATGATACAAATTCGGTTGGAGGTGGAGGTGCCTAGTGTTGAGAGTGAAGGAGAGAGTGGTGGTGAGGAGGTACCAGCTGTGACCGGAGGTAGAGGTGGATGAGTAGATTGAGAGGAAAAGGTAGAGGTGGTAGGGGAAAAAAGCAAGCACTGTAATGCAGTCTGTGTATTTCAGCTTGTTGGTTGGGTGGGGTCATTAACAAGCCTGCTCAGTGAGGATGCTGGTTTAAGGCTCTGTAGAAGGAGATGGTTTGCGGTAATTGTAGATGGGTGGCCCTAGAGGCTGTTTTGTTTTTGTTGAGGGATGTATATTGTAAATCTTGGTATGACCCACTGTGGAAGAAGATGGTTTGTGGCAATTGTAGATAGGTGGTTATAGAGGCTCTTTTGTTTTTGTTGTGGGATGTGTATTGGACATCTTGGTATGACCCTCTGTTTTTATTCTTCCTGCAAAGTCCTTTCTCATGCCGCCTTATTTTCTGTTAATAAAATTTTAGTATTACTAAAGAAACACATGGGGTTGGGTAGCCCAACACTTTTGAGGATGTAACTACAGCTGTATATATTATTTTCTACATATCAATAAATATCAACAGTTACCAATAAAAGAAAACTGAATATATATGTTTTTCCCCTTCCAGTTGTTGGTTGTTCTTTTAGCATGTAAGTTTAACAGTGTATTTGGTTTTTGATCATAAGTTTGTACATTGATGACTTGGCATTGCTAAATATGTTTTTTTTTTTTTTTTTTAATTCTTGTGTATGTCTAATAACTTAAGCTACCAAAGGCTATTATAACTGTGATTTGCTAACATTCCTAAGTTGCTATTTCATTTTCTTTCTCGCTGGTTCCCTTGCTAAAATTCATTTTTCAATTCATATTAGGAAACTTAAAAAGGTATTTAATTTCAGCTCATAGTTGTCAAGGTGCCAAGCTGAGGTTGTGCAACAGTTGTTGCTGTACCTTGTCACCTAGTTAATGATTCTCACATAAAAAAATTTAGGTGACTTTAGTTTTTTCCTTGGTTGGTGTAGTAAATAGAAAACATTAAAAGTAATCTACCATAAAAGAATCAAAATATTAAAAGTAGAATCAAGGCAACCCTATATAGCTTATGAAAACCATGGAATGAATATCAATTATATTAATGCAGGTTGGATATATAGTGGGAATTTGTTTGGTTTGTGTAAAAGAAAGCAGTGGGCATAGTTGTCAAGTGGATGCCTAGGTGGGCACCTGGGCAATGCCTAGGCAACAAGGTGCTCTTGGAGGGTTGCCTCTCACAAATCCCTAAATATTTATATGAATGTCACCACATAATGCTCTTATATTTTTATTTTATGTTATTAATAGTAGTAAAATAGATATTGGGTTAGAAGGTTTGGAAACAGCTTGGCGGATGGTCTAGCTGAGCAAGGGGTTCAGAGACAATCTATGTTTTGGGCTCATTTGTAATTCTGTGGGGTTTAGGCTTTGTCGAGTCTATTTGTTTTTTCCACAACTTCTTGTTGTTCTGTTTCTCATAATTTTAATGAATTTCCTTCTGAGTTACTGATATAAAAAAGGTAGTACAATAGGTATTATTAGACTAAATTGTTCATTGAAGTTTGGTTCTTTTTGCTTTGTTTTGTTTTTTTTTCCTGGGAAAGGGAGGTTTAGTCTTTTTTTTTTTTTTTTGATAAGTAGAGGTTTAGTCTTTTATGATGCCCTCTTACACCCTTTTACCTTATTTATACGATAATGTTTGTTTAGCAGCACTAAATGTCTAAATCTATAGACCTTATGTTTGGAAAAACCAAGTGAAGCACAAGGTGATCCCCAAAATGCCTTGTCACTTTGGCATCACCTTGACAACTTGTTTCAGTGTACAACTCATATTTTCTTTAGGTTTATTGCCTAAACAATGGATAAACACTGGGCCAGGTGCCTACTGATAAAGTGCTATGCTGATGCTTTGCCTTGCCTTGCCTTGCTGCCATCAACTATGCTAAATATCCATGTTGAACCTCCAATAAATGATATGTTACCTCATTCCCTGTATATCTGTCTTAGTTTGATAATCATAGCATTTTGTATTTGCATCTAGTAGTAGATGGATGGACCACTATACTAATAGAAACATCCTTGTCATAGTTAGAATTCAGAAAGCATTTCTTTTCAAAAAAGAGAATTCAGAAAGCATTAACTTATCTTTAATGGTCACCAAATCTAATGCTTATGTGGTGCTCACTGTGGTGTAAACTGAGTTTTGCTTGTTACATCATCCATCAAGTATTCTTCACTTGCTTTATGGCTTATGCTCCAATACATCAATAAGCTTTTTTTGATAATTAATATATCAATAAACTTTTGCAATATCTCTAATGACTTAACTGATATTATGACAGTATAGACATCATAAGTTGTATGTAGAGTATTGTGCTATTTGGTTTCTTGCTGAAGTAAATTGGAGAACCTCTTCTCAAAAGCATTTTGATCTTTCACATTGAATATCTCGGAGTCTTGTAATATGAACTTTAGAATATCTCATGGTCCATTTGGACTGAAAGGAACAACAGAATTTTCTGTAATAGAGTTAAAAGTCCTGAAGATCTAGTGCAGAGAGCAGTGGGCAAGCTGATCTCTTGGGTGTCTGCTACTGAGGAGTTCAGACACCTGAATTTGCCTCTTTTATTTTGGTCTCAGTCCTGTTGGAGCTTGTAACTTGTGTTGTTCTCAGGCTGCTTTCCTTGGCCTGAACTCTGTTTGTATGTTCTCTTTTTTTTTGAATAAAATTACCTTTCCTTTTCCAAAAAAGAAAAAAAAACTTTTTCATCATTACCTCAAAGGGCTAGCTTCTATTTCTCTTCAAAGGCTATTCTGTATGCCATTTTACTTTGTGCACGTGCCAGCAATCTTAGTTCATTTGAACTTTTCTATTTAGGCTATGTAGTAATGGTGCAATTATGGTGTTCAATTGTTATATTAAATGCCAAGTGGCAAGCATAAGTTTATGGTAGGTTTAGACCTTTGTTTTTTTTTTTTTTTTGATGAATAGGTTTAGACCTTTGTTGTATAATCTCTATTGTAAACAAGCCATGAATAGCCTTGATCTTTCCTTAATCCATCTACAATCCCTATGAAGAAAATACAGATTCAATTAATATAACTTTTGGACCCTGACTTTTAGAGATCCAGTTAGTGTTTTAAAGGTGGAAGTGGAGGTAATGTTCCAAGGCTTCCTGATGTGTGAATTGTGATGTCTGAGTGCTGAGCCTAAAGGGTTCATTCTTAAGCCTCATGAACTTTCTTATACACAAAGACAGATTCTGATAAATAAACAGCAGTGAATTAAAGTGAGAAAAGGTACAGAAAAGTTGGAAAAAAATAAAATGAATTATATTTTTATATACAACAGATAAACTATTCACCTTCAAAAAGAAGATTAGAAACAAAAGAAAAGCAACAGGTTTTGAGTGGCCAATTAATATTAAATTGTAATAGATAATCACAGAGTTGAATGACATGTCATTCCTTCTGCTGGACCCTTCTCTCCTATGTTCATAACATAGTTTTCAAGGTGCCAAGGCGAGGCTAGGTGACAGGGGGGCGCATTGTCGCCTAGGCGATGGATTTTTTCAAGTAAAAAATATGTATCCTAGGGTAGTTCCCTAGGATCCATACTCATTTCCTTAATAAATATCCATAATTTTCATAAGAAAAGTATAAACTTCATGTTAAAGTGTAGAAAATCAACATATTCCAACATATTCATGAGAAGAAAAAGAAGAAAGAAAA